AATATAAACCCTATTTAATTCCTTATATTAAATAGGGGAATTTGTCGGCCAATATATTGGTTCCGCAGATCAAACGGATGTCATGACTTTCTCTAGTTTATTTGATCGAGCCTCACCCTTCAATTCTTGTATTCATCCTTTGGGATAGATACAGAATTTGAGGTAAAGTGCTCTTCCATTTAAACTATGAAAATTATGGGGTCAGTTTGACTTCATCTTTTTCAAAACTAATTTTTTTTTAACGTCCTTCCGAAGCGGGCAACGGGATTTCAATTCCGATGACCGACAGCTTCTTACGGGCAAACTCCACACCAAAAATAGTGCCGACAATGTGGAACTTCAAGTTGAGTAAAGAAGAGTTTAGAATTTCTAATGGCGAGGTTTTTTTTTTTTGTCCTCTAGGAATAGTCAACAGGAAAGTTCTATGACTAGACCTTAAACTATTAAAGAGGAAAAAACTAAACTTTAACAAAAAAATGAGGTCAACAGATATCTTCTCAACTGAAGCATTCGCCTATCGCTGGGTATTTGCTCCTGATACCATAAATTTCTTCAAATTTTTATCCTTAATTAGATCTTTGATTAGGCCTCAAAGGTGTCAACACTCGTCCATTTCGTGCCCATAGTTATGGTGATAGACACAATACTTCTTGGGGTTTTGGAGGTAAGCTCCTGTTTTCATCAGTATCTCTCTCTCATAGTTATTGTTATTTTGTATGCACTTTATTATCTTGACCATTGAAACTCTCAACAAAGTTTGTTTGGGCGCTTTGTGGTTAGGTAGCGATTGTTCATCATATCAAGCTGACCACTGGTCAGGATATCAGGCCTGACTCCCTTGGTGATGTATTATCTTGATCAACCTGTGGTCTCAAGGCAACCATCATCTTCTCATTGAGGATGGGTTGAAAGATGCAAATCATCTCTTGAATTTGACCCTTCACCATGAGTGGGCCTTTTACGTGTGTGACATATATATGACTATACTAGCATGAATTGGGTTGGAATTATACTCCTCGATGATATATGGTTGTTAGTCAGCTCCAACAATTTAGCTAGCATCTTTGAATGTTGCATGCCTAGTGCATATCGAAAAGGTCCTCCTACAACCCTTGAACTAGGGCGGCATGACCGACTGTGGGATCCATGTCATACACTTCCAACACTTCCTTTTGAAAGTGAGGGATAAAAGAGTGTGGACTCTTGCTTTGTCCCTGCTAGAGCTGTAGAAGAGCCTGTGAGTTCTTTCGTGGCTTTTGAGCGTGGTCAAATTGTGTCACAAACATCTACTTGAAGTTAACAAACGATGTGATTACTCCCTGGTGTGATTTATTAAATCACCTGAGGGTCAACTCCCTCTGTGTGGTGAAGAAAGATGATGTTTCAACACATCAATGATCCTTAACAGACACACAATTGACTCAAATGAGGCAATGTAGTTGGTTGGATCATTCAGACTCTTGTATGACACTAATGCTAAGATCTTAAATCATTATAGTTGCTTCACTTTAGAGATTTTTCGAGAGAATGCATTATCGGGTTATCAGGGTGCCTCAATATGCCTGATTCGATGCCGATCGATGGGTGCTGTCCCAACACTACCAAAGTACTGGGAGTCGCCTTGCCTTTCCAAGGCCCTTAGGGAGAAGGAGGGGGGTGTGCTTCTCTATTGTTGGGTGTCAGCTCTTCCTATAGGGGCCATTGATGTCTTACTCAAGTTAGCGCATCTCAGATGACATCCAACATTTAAATCCTTCAATTTTCGAATCTACTGGGTCATCGATGTTTCGGTGCACTCTATATTGCCAATGTCTCTGATATGAATTTCTTCTCCCTGGCTACTCCTTGTTTTTGGCATGATTTACACTTACCATATCTTTTAGAATGTTGAAACCTAATGAGTCATTGAATCATACCCAATGAATAAAGTGTGAAGGGGTGGGGGTGAGAGAAAGATAGCGAGAGATAAAAAGAGTCGAGTGAACAATAATGAACGATAATCCATCGCAATCATTTGTGTCTTATTAATAAAATAATTCTCATATTTATAAAAGAGAAGATATAATATTATGATGTTACATTTTTGCCCATGTTTTAAATGGATCCATACTGAGATATTATGGTATTTTATATGCATAAGCTTATCATTCAATTGCTCTTTGGCTCAACCGGCTAAACATAATTGGCTTTAGGTCTGCAACATCAGCTCGATCGACTGAGATTTGTTTAGCCGGTTGCGCCTGGTCTATTTGTATCGATCAGTTGATGTGAACCAACTATCGATCCTTAAACTCTGATTAGTTAGTCTCCGGACATTCATGTGGCTGTTGGAGATACTAAATAATTAGTTTTTCCTTTGGATCAACTCTCCCCTGATACTTGATTTGCATACTCACTTGTCTTGTTTTTGGCTGAGTTGCTCACTCTTGTATCCTCTATTGCCTTTGGTTTTGTCTTGTGGCTTTGTCAGTTTTAGCCTAGCTGGTTAGGCTCAACAGCTTCACTCGGTTGGACAAGCAGACCTCAAGATCTTCAGACAGTTGACCCTCATTTGTCATATTCTTCTTCTTAAGACATTTAGACCTACTCAAAATCAGTGCTGACACATTCTTGATATATATATAAAATATTAGCATTCTAGTATTTTAAATAAGTGAATGTTTATATATATATATATATATACAATTTCTATGTATTGACATATCAAAATATCTCAATTTTAATTTTAAATACATACTACCATATTCATACCTTAAATATTATATTTCATCTTGTAAAAGTTAAAATGATTATATTTTAATATGATATGAAAATTTCATTGCTATGAACCTAAGAAGTAAATTATAAATTTTAGATATATAAATAAGTAGAAATTGGTGGTATGCATGCAAACTCCCTTTTTATTTTTTTTCCCGGGATAGATGAACGCAGGAATTCAGATCTTGGGCTTCATTTATTTACTATCCTACGTGCCGCTACTTCTATTTTATTACCCTGAAAATAAAATCCAGTATTACTCCCTCCACCAGACGACACCATTTTTTTTTTCCGCTCCACACTTTACAGGCAGCTCGTACCTTCGCATTTCAGGTCGACGTCGTCCCCGTACCCGTCGGCCACCGTCTCTACGAAGTTGGACTCTTTTTTTTTTTTTTTTTTTTTTGGGTTTTCAGGCGTTTTCTTCTTCCTGGTACGATCTTTTCTCCTGTTAGCCCTTCCTCTCAATATTCTCGCTCCATTCCGCCTTCGCTTTCGAATTCTTCTTAACACTTATTTATAGGGTGGCGGTCCAGCCGATCCACGGGCCGCAGGGCTTTGGTGTGCAGCAAACCTGCCGATGTGACTGGTGAATCGAAGTTAGGGCTGGGATTTATTTTGCAGGAGCAGATTTTTCTTTTGGCTCCTTAGGGTTTGGTTCTGAGATATTTATTAATCCTCCCCAACTTGTACAACAAATTATCTTCATTTTATTCATGATTTTACTCTTGTAGGAGGAATTGATTTGAGCACAGGGCATTTTCTGTCTGCTTTCTGTGAACATGGCGATGCACGAGAGGAGAACGATAGATTTGGAGCAGGGCTGGGAGTTCATGCAGAATGGAATCACGAAGCTGAAGAACATTCTGGAAGGGCTTCCAGAACCGCAGTTCAGCTCGGAAGACTACATGATGCTCTACACGTACTGTTTTTCTTAGTTAATTTCTTTTCTTTCTTGTTTTGAATTTTATTTAATGAGTTGCTTTTCTGTCCTCTGGGGCGTCTATTTCTTACGCTGATCAGAACCATCTATAATATGTGTACACAAAAGCCGCCTCATGATTACTCGCAGCAACTCTATGACAAGTATAAGGAGTCGTTTGAGGAGTACATCAGTTCTACGGTAAGGATGCTGTCTCTGATACAAAGAAATATGTACTTAACTGTTGTTGAATTCTTTCTTACAATAAAGCCATGGGAGTATTGTGTGACTTGCTCTTATCTGCGTTTAATGTGATAAAGGGTCAGGATAAATAAATTATTTGGAGGTTGCTTATTGGATTTAACTTATTTCTTTCAGGTTAAACTTGATTGTTCGAGTTGTTCTAATCTAATTAGGACAAGGTGATCTAATCTAGTTAGGATTGTTTGTTGTTCCTTATTTTGAATCAAATAACAATTTTAAGAGTGATTCATATTATGGAAGATTGGCGTAGTCATAATGCTTTACTTTTCTAATTTGTGTTCATTAGGTGCTTATTTTCTTGTACAATGATGTTCCAAGCTATGTTTCATCCTGTAGGTTTTTGTTTGCTCAAGAGTGAACCCATCACTTTTTGTAGCTTATAGATTTTAGGGATTTTTGATTGTTGTGGACTTGGCATTTTATTGAACATGAAATGGCAAGTGCAATCTTTTTCTCTTGATAGTACTTTAGGCATTCATTGTGTTCATTTTTGTTATCAATATGAATCTGAAGAGCTTGTTAGGGTATTCTTTTTATTAATCAGCAGATTGGATGGTACCATTTCCATTCTCATAGTTCTTTTTGCGGAAGTGATCTTCACGTTGCCTATTTTGGAAACATTTTTTTTATGACCAACTGATAATGAAATTTAGAATCATGCAATTGCTGTTGCAAAATACTATTAAACTCTTGAGCATGCTGAATTTATTTCATTCTCAAGATTGAGTAGTTTACATGCAAATTGTATTTGTGGTTAGGGTTGTAAATGAGCCAAACATGAGCGAGCTCAAGGCTTGTTCGTGTTCGGCTTGTTTAAATTTTTTATTGTCTGAGTTGGGTTCATGTTTGGAATAGCTCACAAATAATTTGTTTGTGCTCGAGTCATGTTTGAAATATCTCACAAATAAGCTATTCGTGTTCAACTTGATTTTATTCGAATTGAGCTTGTATTCAGCTCAAATTCAAATTAAAATTTCAAAAAATTATTTATTTTTAAACATTTTTTACGAACCGAATTACATTTATGCTTCGAATGTGCGAACTTTTTATTTCTCCTTTATGGTTTGGTTTTCTCATATTTATACTGCTCTGGCCGCTTACCATTTTATTCTAGCATGATGTGGGACTAAAGTCTTTTTGAATTTTATTTGCATTTACATAGATAATGCCAAATTCTTATGCATTTACCTGCGTAACACCTCTCCAACGCAGAGCAGTAGGCATGCCACCTTTTAGAAAAAGTTGGGAAGCTTTTACATACAGAACTCTTTAATGGGCATTCACATAAATACACCCAATTCATATGTATTTACATATCTAACATCTAATTTTTTTTAAATATTTAAATAAACCAAAACTTTTATATCATATAAAAAATATCATTATTTTAAATTTTATATATTATTATTTAATTATTTCAAAATATGACTAGTTGAACACGAACACGTAAACTTTTGTTCGTGTTCAACTCGTTTATAAATCAAGCTAAAAAAAATTATTTGTGTTCGACTCGTTTGCTTAACAAACGAATCGAACACGAGCTATTTAATGAGTTGTTAGTGAACGACGAGTTTTTATGACAGTCATATTTGTGGTTGAGTATAAAACGTTAATGTACAACTCTATTTTAATGTTGTCAAACCAAGCTCACGAGTTCAAGCCTTAGCTGATATAGTCTAATCCAGATGGATATTGCTTCTTTTCTTTTCATTTTCTGTAAGCTATTGTGTTTTATAGGGTCTATTCTCAAAAGTGACTTAGAGAAGGAGATTGAAGATGGAGGTATAGTTCCAATGTTGCAATTATAGTAGATTTGTCCTTGTTTTTGATTAATAAGCGTGTAGCTTAGGTGGTTAAGGAAAAGGCTTACTTGAGTTATGGATGAATTTTGCCAGGCTTGGAGTTTTGAGAGCATTTATCCATTGTGAATCAAGTTGCTTTTGTGGTGTGGTATGGGTGATTTTTTTTAATTGATATTTATTTATTTATTTTTATTTTGCAATATTGCATGCTTGTTTGTTTGCGTTGTCATTGAGTATTAAAAAATATATAAAGATTGCCATGGTTGGTTCTTCCTTTTCATCAAGCATGGTGATGCTGTACTAATTTATTGAATAAGTGATGACATTTGGACTCAAATATTTCTTAATAGTTTGAAAGTTGGGCATAACTTTAATAGATCATTAATCTAGTTTTAGTGCAACTTGATTGCATATTCTAGTATCTGCTTTCGAATGTTTTTTGTTACCTGATTATTCCTTTGGTTGATTTGTGATGGGCAGGACAATTAATTTATGGAAATGTTAAGCCGTACAATAGCTCAAATATGTTGAACGCTTTCATAAAGCACACTTTTGCTGAACGAAAATTTGGAATTTCTCAAGAAATATGTTATTTTTAATGGATTGTTTCAATAAAGTATCTTTCTTCTTAAAAAAATTACCTGTTTTTTTTTATTTACAATTGATCATTCTATAATTTTTAAGCAAGTAATCTAGTTTTTGTTTAGTTTATATTTTATTTGTTCTTTCTTAATAATTATTAGTCTTACATTAAATATTTTTTTTTATTCCATGTGTTTGATGCCTTCATCCTTATTTCGTTATGATATTTCATAATTGGTTTCTTTATATTTAGGATTCCCAATTGCATGTGTTGCAGTTTGAATTAAAAATACGCTTTTTTACTTTCTCTGGGCTGAAATTATTACTTTACGTGGTTGTTTGAATTTTAAAAAAAGGCTTCTAAGGATGGCTAGAACATCTTAAAATGATAGAATTCAGAAAATTTACTAATTGTCTAATTATCATCACAGTTGGTCTTCTTTTCATTTTTTCTTATCAAGCATGGTGATGCTGTAAAGCTAGTTTATAATTATGACATTGGATATCCACTTCACAGCTGCTAGTGCAAAAGCAAAACATTTTTTGTGGCATTCCAAGCATAAGTTTACTGTAGAAAACTGTTTACTTGGGATAAGAAAATGGTCCCTCTTGGTCTTGTTAGTTTCGATGTTTTGTTGTTAGCTGGTTTATTGCTCTATTCTGTCCTTGACATAATCACACCTTTTAACTCTAGGTTGTGTGTTTGAACACTTGAACTTCTTTTTGAGATAAATTGTCTTTTTAACATTCAATTGCTTTTCGATGGTAAATTGATGCATTCTGCATTTTCAATTGGAATATGTTTTATTTCAGGATGAATACATGGAATGAATTAAAACTATTTTGATAATCACTTAACATTTAGAACAGGCTCTAATGTAATCACTTTTAGAATATTAAACAATTTTCATATTTGTATGATTTATCTTTGATTGTAATGCTAGTACTTTGGCTTCCTTTTGTAACTTCTTATCTTCTACTTGGATAGGTTTTGCCTTCTCTGAGGGAGAAGCATGATGAATTTATGTTGAGAGAACTGGTTAAAAGATGGTTGAATCACAAGATAATGGTCAGATGGCTGTCACGGTTTTTTCATTACCTTGATCGCTACTTCATTGCTAGGAGGTCACTACCGGCACTCAATGAAGTTGGGCTTACTTGCTTTCGTGATTTGGTACACCGTCATTCTTGTATTCATAGTAGTTTAACAGGAAGTTTGAATTGATAGTTATTTTTATTAGCTGCGCTTCTAGTTGTCTTGAATATTTTATCTGAGCCTTGTTATGTTGGATAATATTTTTTATTGATTTTTTGATTAGTTTTCCTTCATATTTTGAAAATCCCACTGGTCAATGCAGGTTTATAATGAGATAAAAGTAAAAGTTAGGGATGCGGTAATCTCTTTGGTAAGTGTAGTATTTTCACTTCTTTTTTTTGTACTACACAGATTCAATAATAAAGATTTAGCTCATCTATCTTATGGAAGCAGATTGATCAAGAACGTGAAGGAGAGCAGATTGATAGAGCTTTGTTGAAAAATGTCCTGGATATTTTTGTTGAGATTGGGCTGGGGAGCATGGAGTGCTATGAAAATGACTTCGAAGCAGCAATGCTTGAGGATACTGCAGCCTACTACTCTCGGAAAGCTTCTAATTGGATTTTGGAGGATTCTTGTCCAGATTACATGCTGAAGGTTTCTGTGTCGATTTTTAACACATGGAAATATATCTCCTCTTACTTTTTTACTTTCTGGACTTTAATTATTTGGGTTTGTTTAGGCCGAGGAATGTTTGAAAAGGGAGAAGGATAGGGTTTCCCATTACTTGCATTCTAGCAGTGAGCCTAAGCTGCTGGAGGTATGTGGATGTTTTACATTTCTTGCATGGTGTTTTTAAATTTCTAATGGTTTTTCATGTGTGCCTTTTCTTCATAAAACTACTAAAGGTAAGTTTAGTATTTGTTCCTTCTACTGAATGCATAGTGTGGTGCGCTGAATCACCATTTCTTATTTAATTCTCAAAACACTCTTAAATCTTCAAAACATATATTCTCACATCACGGTGGGGAAGAATTCGAAGAAGGTATAATCAACAACTTTGATAGGCTGCTCTTCTATGAGTAACCAAGCCACTAAGGATGTGATGGGTTTCCAATCTCTTGGATGGTACTCAGTATTTTAATTCAAACTGATATATTAGGTTTTGAACATCAATTTTTTTTCTAGTTAATTAATAGAATAATTTGTGTTTCAGTTTGATTTAAGCATCACAGCTTGAACATTTAGTATGAGTAACCATAGCCACAAAATGTCATGAATGCTCAAGCTTTCTTGCGTGATATAGGGCTTATTTTAAATTCATACAGTTCATGAAAACTTCGAACTTATTCTGATTTATTTGAAATTTTCCTTTTCACTTTACCTACTGATGATTAAAATCCTCTTATTTTGAAAATTTGATAGAAAGTGCAACATGAGCTTTTATCAGTAAATGCAACTCAACTCCTTGAAAAGGAGCATTCTGGGTGCCATGCTTTACTTCGAGATGACAAGGTATTTAGGAGAAATATTCCGGCGATCTCATTCCTTGAATTGAAACTTGAGGTTTGCACTAGATAATTTTTAACATTCTGTGATAGGTGGACGACCTCTCAAGGATGTGTAGGCTTTTCTGCAGAATTCCACGTGGTCTCGATCCCGTCTCTCAGATTTTTAAACAAGTGTGTTTACCTAACTTCTTTCCTACTACATTGTAGAACTCTTTTTTCAAGTGTTTTTTTTTTAACTTTCCTTTTGCCGCAGCATGTCACTGCTGAAGGTACAGCTTTAGTGAAACAAGCTGAAGATGCTGCGAGTAACAAGAAGGTTAGATTTTTGTGTATGTTTTCTCGCAGTGCCTCAACTTTGGTTTGGTTTTCTGTTTCATCTGATGATTTTGAAAAGCTAATCATGCTTGCTTAATTGGAGTTTGACCAATTTATTTTTTCTCATTTGTACTTATTTTATTACCAGTTTTGTTGTGTTAACATGTTTGTATATTAAGGAAATAATATTGGGGAAATATCATATTTTTGTAAATGTCTTATTTAGGAAATAGATTTTTAATATTCCAATAAATCTGATTGTCCCCCAAATTATTTGCTTTCTTATGATATTCATCCTTTTTTTATAGGTATTTATTTTAATGGTCCTTTTGGGGTAGTTGCAACTTTTCAATAAGATGTTGCGCAACGGTTGCCACAGGAAGTTGCTGCGGATAAGCTGACAATCTGTTTGTTTTTTGTAGTTTGAAAATAGTTGTGCTGCAGTTGTTTCTTGACTAATAATCATTCAGCGCCTCTGTAGTAATACTGTTTGCAGCAGAACTTTTATAGCAATATATTTGATAAGTTAGAATAAAAAATTCACTTCATAACAGTACAAATAAAATATACACCTCACTTAACAGTAAATATCATGATTAAAATAAGAAAAAGATAATTAAAATAACATTTAATAATATCATAATGTTATTTTTAAAATGTAGACAACGTATGTCACGAGCTAGGTTGTTCTTCAAGGATTCTCTCCATGTCAGGTCGCTTTCGGTGGTAGAGTCTTCTAGCCTATCTGTCCACCAGAAAAGTCACATTTTTCCGTGATTTTTTGCGGGCATTTTTAAAATTGTCTCATATAGCTATGTGACCGACGTGACGTTAACAGGGAACTTTGAAGTCCACAACGACACAATAATCCTGGGGAGGTATCAGAAATCCTCGAGCTTATCTTTCTTGAATGCTTTAAAAGACAATCTATTAGTCATAACACAAATATAAATTCATAAAAGAAGTAATTAATTACAGTTGTATATGCATGAGGTCTCAGAGAATTCAGTATACCAACTAATGAATCTGTCATTACAAGAAGACAACTAGCCTTATAAAAAAAAGGTTCTTGGTTGCCTTACTTTTATAATACCAAGCTAGTGTATGCCATATATGCATATCATAAAAAAGACAATCCAGAAGAACCTAAAAAATTGCAGCACCGAAAAGAAGAGAGAAACTTGGTTGTGTTCATTGAGATTTCACATATGACACCAACCAACAACGACTAATAGATCATTTAGAAGAACCCATAAGGTCAAACATCTCATCATGAATCTCTCAAACCCACAAAAAAAAAAGCAAATGGAAAAAAAAACACTTAAAATTGTGTAAAAAATGTAAACAACTAATATCAAATAAAGAGGGAAAGGAAATAAATATTAACTGAATAAAATACAAATATTAATATAATAAATGCTCAAATCACTCCTCTATTATCACATCTTTAATTCGTTTCCTCAACTGTGTCGTATTGCTTGCATCTTCTCCGTCTTTAGTATAGGTCCCGGGAGCATCATTCCCAAGCTGTGACAAAGAATATCCAAGACGGTACTCAAATGCGTCGGCAGGTACATGCTCATGATTCTCGTCCGCCCTAAGGAAGTCAATGTTGCAGGAAAGATGCCGTCGATTGTGAACACCAAAAGTCCTCTCATCGTGGGGATCACAATCTGCTTCTGTTTGGGAAATGAGTTAGATGATATATCACAAAGTTTAACCCATTTCGTCTTCTAAATACCAAAAGTCCTCTCAATGACATCACAAAATGAAGTGTTTTTTATTAAACATTTTTTTCTGCTCCGCGTTACATTGCTGACTCGATCGAAGTGAGGTATGTTGTATCTCGTATCAGGATATGATTTGAGATACCCTCGTTGCAACAGATATCCAACATCAACAAAATAGTATTTACCTGATATGAATTACATGAGTAGTATTATGGGAAAATTGAATTAGGAGAGTAGCTCAGTCTCAAACGTATCTGTATGTGAATATGAGAAGTAATACTTGTTATTCTGTGTTGCGATTTGAAAATTTGACTGTGCTACGCACTGCTCTCCCAACCTGTCATGAGAAAGGTGAAACATATTTTGAAGTCGCATAATGCCATGGCATTTTACGTCGGGGACCCACAACTGCTGGTGAATGTGTTCTCATTATTTGGAACACGTGTATCATGTGTGTTCCATCAATTGCTCCGATATGATTTTAGAAAGATAATGAAGGGTTATGTGATTACGATGTTCTTTTTGAAAATTTAATATAATGAATTGGAGAATTATCTTAAAGAACGACATGTACAACACATTGTGTGAAATCTCTGCGGGGGTTTGTTCGAACATAAAATTTGTTAGTTTTATGACTTGCAAAGAAAAACTTACAAGTGCATTCAACCTTATTTAAAAGTATCTGTAAATTGTTTCGGGTGAGTGTTGAAATCGTTTCATTGCTCCTCACATTGATTCATTCTGCGATAATATACAGAGGGTTATCGCCAACACCTCTCGCGAAGTCATCCTAGAAGAGCCATGAAGTCCATAATTTATGTGTAGTTTCTTCAACAAATCGTTGAATACCGCATGTGCCATGCGGAACATGTTGCTGAATCTTGTTAGGCGGCCCGCAAGCAACTACCCAACTCATTTGTCCCCAACATATGAGGATGTCATGTAAGTGGAGCGCTCTATGTACTAGTTATAATATTCGTACATCAAACATACGATAGCTGCAGCTGTCCTGCATCTTTCTCTGGTTGCATCCATTTATTTCGATATTGTACTGGCTAACATAGAAGCATCAATGAATTAGCTACAATGATATAAGGTAACGAGCAACGCAATAAACATATAAGCATCAATGAATAAACATATAAACCATTTCCCAAGCAGTTGCAATATCCGAAGCAAAATGAAAAACCCTAAAAAAATATAAATGTCCCATGCGATTGTAAATAAAAGAAATCTCTCAAATGTTTCGACACTCATAAAAATATCGTAGGTACTCCACCCTACGGTCATCGGGCATCTTGATGTAAAAATCTCTTCGGGTCAAATTTTCATGCAACTTCATCGAAAACAAGTACAACGACTAGTTCTCAGAAATTTCCGGAGTTGCATTCAGAATTCACGGAACTTGGTCCACATAAGCTACTTGAGATGTGTTGGGTTCATTGCTGCATGAAGCCACCAGCTGTGATATCCTGGCTTCTAAGGAAGTCCACATAAGCTACTTGAGATGTGTTGGGTTCATTGCTGCATGAAGCCACCAGCTGTGATATCTGGCTTCTAAGGAAAGCAGCTCTCATTTTATTTTTATTCTCAACCCGTAGACGCTTAGAGCGGCTTGTGGACTCAAGTTCATGGAGATCAAGGCTGAGGCCTTTGGTGGAATCGCCCGATTGGTTGTCTCCCAAGTTCTTGGGCGTGCTACTAAACTCTCTCTCACTGGGGGTTCATCTATTGTTGCTCGTTGCCACGCCACCCCCAAATATACGATCCAACTTCTCCAACTTAGGATCGATTCCACTGAATTTAAATATTTTTGCAGCAAACACCACCTACAAATTCATATATCATTTACTTCAATTTAAAAATTAAAAAAAATTGGTGGATGTTCCAAGATTGCTTTCGGCAAGTCTTTCTGCTCACAACTACTCGGAAACATCAGTTGTTTGCTTCACCGGATCCCACCCTAAGCAAGTTGATCTTTATTTAAATTCCTTCCAAAATTTTCAATCACTGTTGCGCTGGTCCCACTTATTTTTTAATTGTATCTTATCGTACTCTTTACCTGTACTTTCTTTGAATTTTCTGATAATATTTTGTCACCCTTCTTTGTTGACAAAGGTTGTAGGCCTTTTTTCTAGATCGATCTTTTTGAGGCAAATGTCACGAAATATTATTTTGTTTCTTTATCTCACATTGTAGATGAGTTAGCCTCTTTGTTCTTAACCATTGTATTACTAGGATGAAAAAAACAAATTAACGTAAATACGAATGCCTCAATATTGCAAAATAAAGAAAAATCGTAATGTCACAATATCAACAACAAACCACAACACACCACCAACCACACAACCAAACCACAACACACAACCAACCACACCACCAAACCACAACCTCCACCTCCACATCACAAGCCACACCAGCACACCAACAATCTCCACACCACACACCACACACCACACACCAAACACCAAACACCAAACCACGCCACACCATGTCACACCACAATCTTCACACCAAAAATCACACCATACCACACTACACCGCAACCACCAAACCACAACATCCACACCACCAACCACACCACACCACACCACACCACCACACCAACAAACCATAACCACAACACAAACCACAACCCAACCTCCACAACACAAACCACAACCCAACCTCCAGACCCCAATCTCCACACCAGAAGCCAAACCACACCACCAAACCACAACCTCCCCACCACAAACCACACCACCACACCAACAATCTCCATAACACACAACAAACCGCACCACCAAACCACAACCTCCGCCTCCACACTACAAACCACAACCTCCGCACACCAAACGCCACACCACACCACACGCCACACCACACCACTCCAACAATCTCCACACCACAAACCACACAACTTCCAAAACACACAACTTCCAAACCACAACCTCGACACCAACAAGCCATAACCACAACACAAACAAACCATAACCACAACACAACCTACAAAACAACTAACTTCCACACCACAAACTATAACCCTCCCACAACCTCCACACCACAACTTCCACACCACACCTCAATCTCCTCACCACACCACACCACACCACCTCAATCTCCTCGCCACAAACCAAACCACATCCTCCAAACCACATCCTCCACACCACAAACCACAACACACCACAAACCAACAACAAATTCCACCCAATTTTCAAATTCCCTTATGAAATATCAAAGTTCATACTTGTTATCCAAATTCTCCACAACATAAGCACTAAAAAAAATTGAA